TTGGTCAGTGCTTGCATCATGTAGGACTTGCATAACACATCAGCATGTGCTCTCTCCTTCTCTTCCGCATTGTATTTGAACTTCTCTTTTATGACTCTTTGTGCAGGTCTGCCTTGTTCAGGAACAGCATGTGTCTTTCTATAAAATACAGCAGGACCTTCCATCAAAKATTGCATGATTAGATCACCTTCTTTCATTCTCTCAATGAAGTTGAGGAATCTATCCCTCCATTGGTTATAGTCCCCTCTAAACAGTACGGGTGGCTTGGTGTCAGTACCAATAGCCATTGTCTCTTTTGAACTCATTTTCTTAGATAAGTATGATATAGGATCAACTACAGTTCAAAATTTGAATTAAAGGATTAGAATTCAAAAGAAATATATCAATTAAATCGCACACAAGGATTTGCACACATTCAAGACTTAGAAAAAAATCATCACACAAACTTATCCGGATTAGAAATCCGGTCATGTTTATCTGGATTAGAAGTCCGGACAAAAGAGATAGTCTTGAATTTCTAACCAAAACAAGTTATCCGGATTAGATATCCGGACAACAAAGAAAGTTAAATCGTACAAGTAACAACAAATCCGGATGAGAAATCCGGTGAATTCCAACACTTAGTCAAATTTCACACAAATAAGAAATCTCAATTCGGACGATTCAAACACTTAGTCAAATTCGCGAAAATGAATACGGATGAAAACGTCAACAAGTCAAGTCAACTAAGTCAAACAAGTCAAATACGATCAAGTCCACTCAAATTTAAATCGCTCAAATTAGCCAAACAATTCAAATCGCTCAATACATGAACTAAATCGTTCACACTATGAACTAAATCACTCACAACTAAATCGCTCACAATGGAAAGTCAAAGTCCGTTCAATAATCCTTTCACAAAGTCAAATTCAAAATACGATCAACAATTCAAATTGCACACAACAGCTAAATCGCACAATACACAAACTAAACCGCACAACAATATCGCCCAGGTAACAACCGGATTATGAATAAATCGCACAGTACATAGACTAAATCGCTCACTAAATCGCTTAAGAAGCAACCGGATTATCAACAAATCGTACGACACATCAACGATTTATCAAACGAATTAAGCTAAATCGGTAACTGAATCGTACAAGTAACAAGCGATTTACCTCTTAATCGAACAAGACTTACCTAGTTTATCCTAAATCGCACAAAATCAATTCACAAAAATCACAAGACTTAAATCGTACAAGCTTTAAGCGATTTATGCTTAAACCGATCAAGAGTTATACGGATTAGGATTCAAGCAAAAACACAATTTTAACAAATTTTCACCAAAAAATGTATCAAAACCTGCAAAAATATGAGTTTTTGAAGAACACAAACATATTTCGTAAACTCAAAAATTGATCAAAAATGGTTCAAAACTTGTTTAAAATCAAAATTGATGTGAAACAAAGTTGTTCAGAATGTAATTGCAAATTCAGTAGTACGAATTATATCAAATAACGATCAAAATTTATGCGATTCAAGCCAAAAAATGTAATCTGGACCGAAGAACTCCAAGAACAGTCGAAGAACACTATGAACAGTTCGTTAAATCCCCTAAAATTGGCGCAAAATCCTCGAAAAAATTGTTTAATTCTCTAAACAAATTGATGCAGATACCTTTGATACCAATTGTATGTAACACCCCCAATCCATATATTGCATATAACACATATATTATACATAGAATACATGTCTTCTCCCACATAGGTCCATAATACAAAAGTCTTTAAGGTGAATTACACCACTCAAAAATTTCAAAAGTACATGCTTCTTTTATTCAAGCATCTATGCTTCCAAAACAGCTAAGCACATAGGGAAGTAATTCACATAATGCTCTTTCCCTTATTATCTTTACCTGCACACATATTTTTGAAAACACGAAATGAGGGTTAGACATGAATGTCTAGTGAGGTTCCATTTTATGTAATGCAGGGTGAAGGTCACCAAAACATTTATTTGAAATAATTCATCTTATGTAGCAAAACTAAAAATCATACTGTTTTGGTCAATCGAGCCTCTAGTTCCAAACCACACTCGGAATATATTTCAATAACCAGGACCAGAGCCCCTCTGGTCTCTCTTCCAGAGCTTCTGGTTCCTCGACCAGAGCCTCTGGTTGTACTAACCAGAGCTTATGGTTCAAAAGACATGATCAACCAGAGCCTTCATGTTCAACGTGTAAGCCAACCAGAGCCTCTCTGGTCTGTTTTTCATAAAAATATTCTAAATATAAAATCTTTTACTTAAAAACTTCTAAAAATTTGATTTTGACATAGAAACTCTTATCAATAGATACAGAGCCTCTGGTCCAATTACTACATTTAGTAAAAACTTGCTCATTCTCCAAATCAATAACCAGAATCCTCTGGTCCAATAATGAGGACCAACCAGAGCCCCTCTGGTTCCTTACAAGGAACAACCCGAGCCCCTCTAATTCCTCATAAAAATGACCATTCTGTTCCAAAACACTTTTAACCAATATCAATAGCCATAGGCCAAGTTTTCCCCTTCTCAATAACATCAATACTATTATTTCTAATAAAAACAATATCTTTGAGTTCTCAAATCACAAAGAAGCAAGGACTCAAATCTATTGTAGTCTTAAAAGACATAATAGTAAGAGCTATAATATTCACACACAATTGTCACCCCTTATATCCAAAGGTACCTTTCTTCTTGATATGCCACCCTTATTCCAAAATACACCTCTCCTTGATATGCCACCCTTATTCCAAAGGATACCTTTCCTTAATATGCCACCCTTATTCCAAAAGACACCTCTCCTTAATTTGCCACCCTTATTTCTTCTTCAAAATCTATGAACTAGTTCAGATGAAGAACCGCAGTCACAACCATCTTATCGAATCCTCATTCATAGTTTTATCTATAAAATCTATAGATTAATTCCAAATGAAGACAAATCAAAATCACAATCGTCTCAAAAGAATATTCTCTATAGTTTTCAACCAACAGTTTTATCATTAAAACCTTTCAAACTCAAGAACAATCTATTCTTTCAATGATTTCCAAAAACATCATGTCCCTTTTAAGTCCTCGAAACAGAATATCATTGCCAAAAATGTTTTAAAGAAGCAATCCCTTCTTTATCTTTCCCAAAACAGTTTTTAATACTCAAATATATAACAATAACACCTTTAAACTATCAAAATAGTTTTACCATATTTTCTTCAAAACCAACATAAAGACCCAGCAGTTTATATAACAATATATATAAAGGTTTTAGTCATCAAAAACTCACCTTAATAATCACAGGTTCTGCAGATTATAAACACACAATAGATCTTTAATTAGCACATAATCTTCAAATCACTTTTGTGTATTAATCCTTCTCAAGAATTCTTTCACTGCCAAACACTTTCTTTTTCTCAAAAAGGTTCTCCAAAAATCAAGATAAGGTATGATCTTATTTTTTTCCTTCTTTATATATTTTTTCTAACAAAGGTGATGATTGTTTTATTAAAATAAAACTCTTTGGTGGTGAAAGCTTTAACCAATAGAGGTAATTTAGACGCTGGGTTTTTCATTATAAAATTCATGATTTCTTAACCATGAAGGTATAAGTTTTTAAATA